GAGTTGCTCCACCTCAAGTTGTGTGCTTGAAGCACAAGGAGCTCCTCTGTGCCTGAACCAGAGTAAGAAAACTGGCTTTGAGAGTAGCCTCCCAATCTGTGGTTCTACACAGTGCGGAGTTATGATCCATGTATATGTAATACGTCAAAGTACAGTCTCCTGTGGTGTATATCTTAAAAGAACAAAAAGAGAAAAGAGTTTGAAATGAATGATTTGACTTTCCTCATCGCTTTTGTTCTTATGAAACTGACCTGCCTTGCTCACTCATGGGATCCCTCATTCTTTTTTATGGCATGAAGTGCTGCCTTATTCTATAATCAGAAACAAAAGACAACCAAGTTCTTTTTTTTTAACTTTTTAAATTGTTTTTAGATATTAATGGACCTTTATTTTATTCATTTATTTTTATGCAGTGCTGAGAATTGAACCCCCTGTCTCATACATACTAGGCATACCACTGAGCTACCGTCTCAGCCCCCCAACTAAGATCTTTAACAGAGTTTCTTGTGGGGCTGGGGTTGTGGCTCAGAGGTAGAACACTTGCCTACCATGCGTGAGGTACTGGGTTTGATCCTAAGCACCATATAAAAATAATATAAAGATATTGTGTCCACGTATAACTAAAAAACAAATATTTTAAAAAATGTCTTATAATTTTGTGTGTTTACAGATAGGACTGATTCCCAGAAAGCTCCCATGAGCTGAATGTTTATGTACCTCCATTACTTTGGGAGACCTGAGGAAAGAAGAGTAATATTGCAGAAAGGGAAATTATGTACAGGGGATTGAGTGAGCACTGGCTAGCAGCTTCGGAGGTCCAGTTGGGTTTGTAATTGTAAATCTCAAGATCGCCCAGTCAGCCCCTGTGATTCCCTCCTCCCCAGTGTCTTGCTGCTAGTCAGGCTGGGTGTGGTGGTTCCTTTTGAGGGTTGGTGTTTTCTGGGCTCATATAAGAGTGTAGGATAACGAGGGAAGAGTTGGAGTCCCAGGCTCCCTCTGCCCACTCTGAGATATGGGCATGTTTGTAACTGTCTGCAGTGGGTGTGTGTGTGCTGCCGGCGTTGTCTAGCAGATATAATCAGCTTCCTCTCCAGTGTGCAAACCCCAGTTTGGTCTCCATTTGCAGTTCATCTCAGCTTCCCTTATTCCACTTAAATCTGAGCCCCTTTAGCTTTTCAGGTGAGCTGGTTGTAACACCTGCCTGAATCCTTCATATCCTATATTCAATATGAGACTCAGTTTCTCTTTCTCTTCTGATTTTCTTTTTCTTTTTCTCTGTGAATGGGTCTTACATGCTCCCATGTGGTCTTGAACTCTTAGATTCCAGCTTTGAACCTACACAAGCATCCCAAGCAGTGGCACAATAGGTGTGCACCACTGCACACACTTCTCAGAAATGTTATTTTTTTATCTATATGATAGGCTTAATTTTACATTTTTTTTCAGTATCTCAAATTTCAAATTTTATTCATTTAATCTCAAATGTCACATTTAAAAATTTTTTTTTTACTTTTCGACAGACCTTTATTTTATTCATTTCTTTATATGCAGTGCTGATAATCAACCCAGTGCCTCACATATGCAAGGCAAGTGCTCTACCACTGAGCCACAACCCCAGCCCCTCAAATTTCAAGTTTGATTTATTCAAACTTTGTTACAAACCCTGTTATACTGAAATCTGTAAATGAGACCCACCTGATTTTTTATCATTTATAAGTAATCTGGTTTAATTTGTTTGGATGCTTATAAAATCCTCATTACCCCTCTCCAATAAGATATGTTTAGATGTGGATCATTCCCCATCAATTTAACATTACATTTTTTCCCTCTATTTTAGGTCTTCTTTTACATCTAGATATCTTTATTTAGCTTGTCTTTGATTTGCTCTTACTTCTGTACAACTTCCTATAGGTTATTCTGTAATGCCAGATTCGCTGTACCCCAGTAGACCTCCAGGAGCTGAATCCGATGCAGTCACACAGAGTCTTTATTGCAAGCTCGAGCCTGGACTCACAACTGTTTCCGAGGCAGCGGACTCAGGGAGTGAGTCATGGTCCTTTGTTCAGTGAGAATTCATAGGTTTTTGGGGGATACTCTATGCGTCACAACATCACACAGCAAATCATTTCACACTGCAGGAAAGTCAAAGAACAACTCTTAACATTGATTAGCACATTTACTGGTGGGAACAAGTTGGGTAGCGGTGATTGGTTAGTACAAGAGGGGGATTCGTTTGAACCGATTGGTTTAATCCGTGAGGGGTACATGTGCCAAACTACATGGTTTTCCAACATGCTATCAACCATCATAAACTCCAGGTATTCTCCCTGTCTCATGCTGATTGGTGGTTGCTACGGGGTTGCTATGGGTCCTCACCTAGCCAACTGAGTCAGGGACACCTAGCACTGCAGATCTTTCCTACTATTATCAGATAAACAACTCAGCAGGGTGGGTATCTGCCAAAGAGTGCTCTGTGGGTTTTTCCAAGGACAAGGGTCACGTCCCCTTCTTTGGACAGGCTTTGAGGTAGAGGCTGGTTTCTCAAAAATGGAGTCACATCAATGTGTTTCTCAATTCCTCAGATGTACTCTAATTCTCAGCTCGGGTTTTAGCTCGTCTTCTTTTGTCCTTTGGCTTCTGTTTTGTACAGGCCACAACTTCAGAATTTCTTATGGAAAATGTCTGTTTTCTAAAAGAGATGTCTGTTTCCTTTGAAATCCACTTTCAGAGATAAGCAAGACTTCTGAATCTTCAGGATTATGTCCCTTTCCCTTTTTCTGTATTATTTTTACATTTCTCTTGAAACAAGCTCTCTTGGCTTGGGATAAGGTCCCGGGTTCCAAGGAACTAGTGCAGGTATGTGCGAGTCAGTAGGGCTGGCCACCAGCCGTGGATGGTGGTCACCAGGGAGTCAAACTCTCAGAGCCTTGCCAAGCAGCCCCGAACAACAAATGATAATCTGAAACATGAATCTGCGGGGAGAAGATGTACTTAAGAACTGGATCTTCTCCAGAGGTCTTCAGGCAAAATTGACTTTAGTTAGTAGGTTCTGAAGACAGGCCAGGAATGTTAACCTTGTGTTCATTCTTCTACAGGCACAGGGTGCTCAGCGCATTCCCGCAGGTTACTTCCCTCTGCAATCTCTGAGTCCCTCAGAACCAAACAACAGGGGAGAGCTTCAGGTGCACACAAAGCTTGCTGAGGCCATTCACAGGCATGGGTCCCCTCCTGGGTTCCACCGGCCTCAAGCACTCTCATGCCTTTGTGCACCCAGGCTCCTTCAACTCTGGTACCTTCAGGTTGCAGCTCCGGGTTCCTGGCCCACAAGTGCAGCCTAGCGGTGACTTAGGGATTTGCTTGTGCCCACGCCAGCAGCGTCGGGCAGAGAGCTTAATTTTACATTTTCTGAAAATTTTATTTTAGAAGCCTGTACCTTACCCTTCAGGTTGAGAAATATATCTTAGCAGTAGGATGGAATGTCCTCTTTCCCCCACCGCAGAGGTGCCCAGGAACCTGAATATGGGATGATGATTTCTTCAGAGCTCTTGAAGAAGCCAGAGGTCATTAAGGTATTAAGGAGACTTATCTTTGCATTTCAACTGTACATTTCTAAGCCAGCACTTGAGTCACTATAGTCTTGACCTAGACATTGTGTATATGTTGGTGTCTGCTTACAAAAACAAAATAACTAGGAGGAAATGAACAGCCCTGTTGAAGGGTCAAACCTGGAAACCAAACCTTCCTCTTATTTTTTAAGTATTTTTTTTTTTAGTTGTAGATGGACACAATATCTTAATTTTATTTGCTTATTTTTATGTGGTGCTGGGGACAGAACCCAGGGCCTTAAGCATGCGAGGCAAGCACTCTACCACTGAGCTACAACCCCAGCCCCCAAACCTCCCTTTTAAAAGAAGAGCTGGTTCTCAGGGGTGCTCACTCTTCAGGTCCCAGGCATGGCAGCCCCTGGGGCAGAGTGAGAAGTCCTGCGAGTTGAGGTGTGGACAGCATGGAGCCAGGCTGTGGGAGGGAAGGGACAGTGGACACTTCCTGATGCCCTCTGGAGCCAGCTGGGCGATGGGCAGTGAACAAGGACTTCTCTCCGCCACCAGGGGTGACATTGCTCTGATCCCAGGTGTGACAAAAGCACACACCTTGTGGTACATGTGCCAGGCACCATTTTCAACACTTACACTGATGTGTCATCCCATGAGTGCTTGACAGTTAAAGAAAGCCAGACACAGTAAGGCGTGGCCACTCTGCTTGAGCCACTGCTAAGTAAGGTGCCAGATCCTGGGCTTTCCTTTTCCATTTCTATTTTTTATTTATTGTTGTGGTACTGAACTGTGGACCTGAACCCATGACTTCACCCATGCTAGGCCAGTGTTCTACCACTGAGCCACACTCTCACCCTCCCCAAGTTTTCAAAGCTCACAATAAACAAAAAAGTGGAAAAATGGTAATTAGTGTCTATATATACACCTATGGTCTGCAATTCCAAACATCCTGCTATGCTCTTCTACTCCTTTGGATTTTGGAACACATGGGAGTATTACAGTTGTGGGATACTCCATTCCTACTTAGGAACACTCACATCCAGGCGTCTCTGTAATACTTCTCTCAGCTCAGTCATAAGTGACCATGCACACAGCACCCACTCACTCTTCTCAAGCTGCTGGTTGTTTTCACATAATGACCTAGGCTTTGGGAAGACACCAGGGCAGCTGCCTTTGCCTTGGTGGTAGTGTCTGTTTCCTGGGGGAGGGGTAAGCCTTAGTCCAGGGGCCACATCCAACTCTGATGCTTGTTTTGCTAAGTGTGTCTGCTCTCCTGTTTGACGAGTAGTTACAACTGACTGCAGAGCCCACAGAGCAAGGTGTTTAAGGCCTGCTCCTCCTAGGTCTGACCACGCCTGAGTTCCACTCTCTCTCCCCTTGACCTAGCTTTTACAGTGACCAAGTTCCTGGATGGAGTTTGCTTCAGCAAGAAAACAGTCTGCAGAGTGGACATTTATCAAGAATCCTTTATTCACCTTCTCATTTGCATTAGTTATTTTCAGGAATTTCACTTTTCTCTCCCTGTGTTGAAGAAAAGACCTTAAGGAATTAGTGGTGCCTGAGTGAGCTCCCTAGTCCACCTTTGACATGTGACACCTAAGCACTTGATAAGGATGCCTTGTGGGATTTTTTTTTTTTTTTGGTCTAAGGATAGTTTGAAAGCATAAATGTCCTTTGGGTCACATCAGTGCAGGATACCAAGTGGGGACCATGGTGGAGGTGTGAGTTCAGCTCACCACTCACTAACTTGTTTATCCTGAACAAACTGCCCATGAGGCCCCTCTGCCTCTGGGGGCAAAAGGGCCAAGTACACGGGGGTCTCGGCTCCTTCTTCCGGACTCTTGGTGGCCGAGGGTCCTGTCATGTCGGTTCTCACCCACCCTGGGCAGCAGGCATTCAGCAGGATCTTGTCTCCTCTCCTCTGCTCACTGAGTTTCCAGGCATAGATTCTGGACAGGACTGTGACACCAATCTTGGACACTCCATAGGCAGAATTGGGCCAGCCTTCTTTTTCGTGCACTCCATTTTTTGCGTCTTCCACAAACTTGTTCATGAGCCCCACCAGCTCCTCCTCTGTGATGGTCTCACTTCGAAACTTCTGCTGCAGCTCTGGGCTGCAGCGTTTAAGGTAGACCAGACTCAACACGCTGGAGACATTCACCACTCTGCCTAAAATACATTCCAAACCATGATACATTCATCTGTGTTAACATGTAATATAAAATCTACATGAGAACAGTGAAGACCAATTATACTCAGATGTTAGAGCAGAAAATTTTCATTTGAAAGAGTGCCACCAGTATGAGCTTTAGGAGAAACAGACATGGACCGTTGGGTGGTTGCATAAGGAACTTCCATAAAGAACCTCCTGGGATCACAGGGTGCCTGTGAGCACAGAAGTTTCCAGGAAGCTGTACACTCCAGTGTCAACTCTAAGCCACACATCTCATTGTTGTAAAGGTGGCTGCTGCCAGTGTGTCCTTAATGAGAGGTGGGTCTCCCTGAGTGGAGGAGTGCTAAAGCAGTTTTCAATGGAAGACTAAGAGAGTCTGTGGCGTGCACAACATGAAACACTTTGATGAGGAGATGAAATGAGCCAGGAGGGAGATAGGGGCATATCATGGCGTCACTGAGGGCCTGGATTTCTCCTGAAGGAGTCTGGGAGTGCCTGGCACAACTTTAGCAGAAGCAGACACTGTGCAGAGCCCTGGGAAAGGGCATGACTCAAGAAGGGAGGCCTCTCAGGAGGGTTTGCAGGTGTGTGCATGGTCAGCTGAGGGCCCATTTAGGGCTGTGATGAAGGATTCAGGTGATTCTCAGTGGGCACAATCTTTTTAATTTTAATTTTTTTTTTCATTTCAGCAATCGAACCTAAAGGTGCTTAACTGAGCCACATCCCCATCCTGTTCTTTGAAATTTGAGGCAGGTTCTTCCTGTATTGCTTAGAGTCTTGGTAATTTTCTGAGGTGGGCCTTGAACTTGCAATCCTCTTGCCTCAGATTCCTGAGTTGGTGGGATTTCAGGGGTGTCCCATGATGCCCAGCTCAGTGGGCACAATCTTAGCACATGGGCATTGTTGATGTGGGGGCAGAGACTCGTGGCCTCCAGGGTGACCACAATGGTGGGTGGCCAGGAAGATTTAGAGGAAGGATGGACATCCCCTGAAAATGTCAGTTTAGATTGGGGGTTATTAGGAGTTATGGAGGATCAGGAACATCCATATGTGTGAGTTGGTCTGGGAGTGTTTTGGGCAGGTGACTGGTTTGGTGGGGCTGGGTCTAGTGAGGCAGTCCTGGTCCATGAGTCTGAATGAGGGTGTACAGAATGGAATCCTAGGGCCTTTGTCAGTAGCAGGGAAAGAAGAAATAAAGAGCTGCTCTGAGGAGACTTTTGAACAGACACTTGAGGATACCAAAGAGCCAGGTGTGGCAAGAACAGTGCACAGAGCATTAAGCCACTGGAGAAGGGGGCGGGGGAAGTAGAGCTGCACCTGGCAGGTGGAGGCCCAGCAAGGCAGGGACACAGCTGCAGCAGGAGAGGCCTGGGGCAAGGAGATGAGACTGCAGGAGGGCAGGGCCAGATCACCCACCCCACTTACCTTGTGGTTTTATGAGGGGGAGTAGCTCTGTGCAGACATCTCGGGTACCAAAAAAATTTGTTTTCATTGTGACTTCTGCTTGAATATGAAAGGGTGTCGGATCATCCACTTTTAAGAAAAAAGAGAAAACAGTAAACAGTTGCTATGGGGTACAATTTCTCAGAAATAAAAGAGTGTACAGGATATCTGGCACCCTCCAAGTAAAGTCTTGTGTCTAATGCAGGGTTGTTCACACTTGGGATCTCCTGGGAACCGGGTATAGCAGTTGGGGAAGGAGTGGGGAAGTGTTTCAAATAGTGACCACATTATATTGTTATATTTTCTTCTATATGAACATGTAGCATGAAATCCCATCATCATGTATAGCTCTAATGCAGCAATAAAAAAAATGTGGAAAGCGAAAAAAAGTCAACCTCCTGGTTTCATAACATTCTTTGTTTTTGTAGAGTGGCAGTATTGGGGTAGTGTGAGTCATGGGTACTGTCTATTTACTATGGTGGTGTAATCAATATTTTGCAATTCTTTATTTCAAAAGTAGTCAAAAGTCTACTCAACTGCTTTAATGTACACTTTTGTAAAGAAAACCTAGAAAGAGTCGAATGAGTCCCAGTCGCGCAAACACAATGTCCCTTTGGCTTGCACCTTCCCGGTCTCTGCTTTCCCTATGGCTTCCGTCTATACTGTCTGTTTCTTTCTAGGGAGACTTTATGGATCCCACAAAGCAGAGGGCACCTGCCCCTGAGCCGCTTGCAGAAGGTGGTTCCCCAGGGCTACAAGCTTTGCACCCCGACCGACCGCTTACTCTTAAAGGCGATGCCCGCGTTGTTGACCAGCACATCTAGTCCCCTGTACTCCTTGCGCAGGAAGTCACGCAGGATGAGGATGCTCTGCGGGTCGTCGATGTCCAGCTGGTGGAAGAGCGGGCTCAGGCCCTCTGCCTGCAGCTGTTGCACCGCTGCCCGGCCCCGCGCCTCGTTGCGCGCGGTGAGCACCACGTCCCCGGAGAACTGGCGACAGAGGTCGCGCACGATGGCAAAGCCAATGCCCTTGTTGCCTCCAGTGACCAGCGCCACGCGGCGACAGGACGACATGGCTGGTGGGCAGCGCGGAACACCTGCACAGAGAGTGGATCTCAGAACCTCTGCACCGCTGGAGCGCAAAAGTGGAGCACCCGCAGGTTGCTGGCCCGGGACCGCCCGCCCACCACGCAGGCGCAGCCCCGCCCTGTGCAGGGCGTGGCTCGCCTGGAGTTGTCTGGAGTTGCTCCGAGTTGCCCAGAGTTGCCTGGAGTCGCCTTAGGCGGTCAAAGACTGGGAGCTGGAGATTAAAGTTGTGCTTCGCAATTTAATCTTTGCAAAACTCGCCTCCTGGTTTTATTGGTATGTACTTAATGAATTGTTCAACTGTGGTTTCCTTTCGCGGTTAGAGGAATAAACAGTGAAATCGAGTAGCTTTTTGTAGAGGAACATGAGGAATGTTTTGGGGGAGTCAGAGTGAACCTGGAGGTAGGCTGGGGCAGATCACTGGCATCCCTGGGAACCACGCTGAGGGCTTGGACTTTCTGCTGAAGGATTTTTGGAGCGGTTTGCCAAGCAGACTGTGTTTAGAGCCCCGGGAAAGGAAAGGATTCAAGAAGAAAGGCCCTTACCTTGCCACACAGGCCAGTGGGAGCTGGTGGGTGCTGGCAGGTGCCTACCTGGTAGAGAAGAACCATTGGGATTGGCCATGTGACTACATCTGTACTGACTCCCAGGGCTGGTCTTCTAAGGTTTGCTTTCTGTACCCCCAAGTATCCAGTTATTCACAATTGTGCTTGAAAGACATGTGGCTTGTGTATGAACTTCCCCTCCCTTTATCTCTGCAATTGAAGTCTTTCAAACTAGAGTTGTGGAATGAACTGAAAGAAAAGTCCAGGGCATCAAATTTCTGTTCATTTCACCCTAAGTATATAAAAGCAAAGCTACTGGCCTGTCCTTTTTGAGAATGGAGAAGTAGTTACTAAATCGACTGTTACTTCACTATGTATTTGCAAAAATACCATCCTACCTGGCTCTGAGAGCTGCAGTGTACAGGTGCCTGGGCACATCACAGCCCTTCTCTCTCACACACACACACACACACACACACACACACACAAATCACATGTCAGGATGTACCTTTTTTTCCCCATTTTAAGATGAAAGAATAGACTCCTGCTGAGAAAGTTTATAAGTTGGTTCAGTGGTTCGAATGAATTTTTATCATCCCTTGGAACTTACAACTAGGGAAGAGGGGACTAGATCAAGTTTCATTTCTTTCCTGTCCCATATGTACCACTATCCACAGTGGCTATTTAAATCTAAATTGAAATTGATGTAAATTAATGCAAATTACAATTAATACAATTAATGTTTTAGGCTGGGGTTGTGGCTCAGGGGTAGAGCACTTGCCTACCATGTGTGAGGCACTGGGTTCAATCCTCGGCACCACATAAAAATAAAATAAAGATATTGTGTCCACATATAACTGAAAAATCAATAATAAAAAATTCTTTTTTTTTTTTTAAGCTGGGTGCCTGGCCTATAAACCCAGTGGCTCGGCATGCGGAGACAGGAAGATTGTGAGTTTGAACCCAGTGTCAGCAAAAAGCGAGGCGCTAAGCAACTCAGTGAGACCTTGTCTCTAAATAAAATACTAAATAGTGCTAGGGATATGGCTCAGTGGTCAAGTGCCCCTGAATTCAATCCCCGATACGAAAAAAAAAAAAAAAGTAAAAAAATTTTTTAAATTAGTTGCTCATGGCAATACAATGATCTTGACATATCATACATTTGATTCAAATGGGATATGAATTCTCATTTTTCCACACATACAGATTGCAGGATCACATTGGTTATACAGCCACGTACACACATACAGCAATACTAGTGTCTATTGTATTCTGCTGAAATTGTATTCAATTTCAGTTACCACATTTGAAGTGCTCAAGATTCACACATCAGTGACCTCAATATTGAGCAGTGCAACTATAAGATATATTCATCATTGCAAGAGAGTCTTGTGCACAAAGTTGCTTTACACAGATTCTAATTATGTTGCCATTTCAATGTGACTTTCCTGGCAGTTGATTAACAAAAAGTTGAAGAACCTTGCTTTTTTCAGTGGAATTTTTTATTGAGGTAATAATAAATTCACAAGCAGTTTTAAAAAAACAAGAGAGATCTTACGGGTCCCCCAGTTTCCCTCAGTCTCAAACTCTAGTATGATATCACACATATATTGACATGAAAAGGATGTACAAGTCATTTTTGGAGTTCTTCTGTTTTGTTTCCTTACTCATGGTTGTACAGTTAGTTCTGTATGATTTCATCACATGTGCAGATTGTATAGGGTTCCTGCCCAAGACACAGCGTTTCCAGGAGCAGAAGGGCCTCTATTGTTGCTGTTGTGTAACCAAACTCTCTGCTCTTGCTCCCAAACCCAGTCTATCCCCCGTCAATCAAGCATCTGCTCCCCTTTTCTCCAGGTTGTTGTTGGAAACTTGTTACACAGACGAAGCATAGGATATGTAACCCTCTGGGTTGTCTTTTTCCCTTGGCTAATGAATTGGCTTTGTGTGTTCTCCTTCACCCGAGTGTAGCTTTGGTCTGTGGTTGAGTGGGCCTCTCCTCTCCTGCTTTCTTAGGTGTGGTGAGCCAGTGCAGGAGGATGTGGGTTAAGGACGTGGGTTAAGGATTCACTGATGGCTGGTGGTTCAGGAGCTTGGGACATGAGAGCACCTGCTGATTAAAAAGGCAGTGCCTGAGAGAGGGCCCTGGATCATGATTTTCAGGCTGGTTTGTTTGTGCTTTCAGAACTGGTCCCCACACGAGTTGACAGTTCAATGGGGCTAAATGCTCCAGAAAATGCAGTATAGAAACCATCAAGAGCAGAAACAATCGGAGAAAAAAAAAAAAAAAAACATCATGGGTATCCTCAGTCACAGACACCAAGGAGGGAAATGAAAGAAGGAATTCCCAGCAAAAGAAGGTGTTCTAAGAAAGAATGGATGGTCAGCTGTTCCAAGTGTTAGGGGAAAAAGTGAGAAAGAGAAAAAGAAAACTGAGACACAGCCAAGAATCTTCTCAAGAGGTAGTCATTGATCTCTTCGGGAAACATATTTATAGTAACAGCGGAGAAAGGAGCAGTAACCAGGGAAGTGACAATCATCAACAATTATACTTTATATCACCTTCAAAATATACACCACAAAGGAGAAATCACATATGGAGACACACTAGCAAGACTAAGGTAGAGAAATTATGAGATGGGAAGAATTGACTCAAGACAAAGGGGAACACTGGGGACAGGAAATGTATGAACAATGGTTGGTTAACTGCAATAGGACAGAAAAGATGTGAAGGCTCCCAACCTAGACCATGGAGAACTCACTAGGGTGGGGAATCCAATCCAGTGAGCCAGGCCTCATATCCACAGGGTTTGGCAACAACTAACCAACCATCTTCCAGGGAGCACTGAGCAGGGGGAGGGGCTGGGAAGGAGTACGCGTGTTAACACAGTGAACCATGAAGTCTTCCAACAAGTAAACTGGAGCAGGAACAGGAACAGGAACAGGAATATTGTAGGAAATAAGCTGAAAGACAGCCACATAGCATCAGAGGAGTGGAGTAGTAACACAGATCCTGCTAATGGACTCTGGTTCAGGGGCGAGACTCCAGTCCCTGGGTAGAACTGGCAAAGGCAAGTAGAAAGTACTATAGTGCCAGAGGAATAAGGAGACAGAGTGCCTGGCAGGCTTTCAAGAAGCGATAAGGTACCCAAGATGCTGTGGAAGCTAGTGAGCAGATCTGAGGTGCAAAATACAGCCAAAGAGGCCAAAAAGTGATTTCCTGCAGCCCAGAACACTAGGCCAGAGCTCCTCAGCCCCTCCTAGCAAGACAGAAAAAGCCTAGCATAAACAAGTCTGGTTGCAAGGATCCCCATGGAAGAAGACTGCCAAGACTAAGAATCAGGCAAAAGTCAAAGTAGGAGTGCTTCAAGATAAAGGGGGATTTTAAAACATAAAAAGAAGTCAGAGTAAGGGGAAGTTCAGAGAGAAGGTAGTGAGAAGCATTTTGTGGGGAGAAGACCAAGAAAGAAGGGAAAGGAGGCTGGGTTTGTGGCTCAGTGGTAGAGCACTTGTCTGGCATGTATGAGGAACTGGGTTCAATCCTCAGCACCACATAGAGATAAAAGGTATTATCCATCCATAACTAAAAAATGTTTTTAAAAAAGAATGTAAAGGAATAAATTTCCCAAGGAATGCCTGACCTTTCTCTCACCAGACCTAACCAGTCGCAGACCCAGTGCTTTACTGTAAAGTAAAGTAAATGTACCAAATCAGAGGACCTGAGATTCATCTGCTGTGTGAGGGCCAAGGAAGAATTTCTTCATTATGAAAAATGATAAATACACAGACGTAAGTCCCCGAAGACGTAAATACTTTCTCTTGATGCGGACTCACATGTCCAGAGTAGTATCTTGAGTACTATACTAACTGAAGACCAACAATGAGCTAGAGAACTTTGCATAGAATTTGGTAGTTCCATTGCTTTTCTTCTGATCTTGCCTATCTCCTCCTGGCAATTGGTTTGCAGCCTTACAGCTTTTGAAGTTCAGGTCAATAGTCCGGTTTCCCTTTTAGTGGAGATGACTGAAAAGGCGTATTTTTTCTTAGCCTTTGAAATCATCACTTCCAAGTTTAAACTTTTTAAATGGCTCAAAATTTAAACTGCTGCCTAAAAAAAATTATATCCTTGGTTTTGCAGTAGGAGGAGGACATTTTAGATTTTCTTGTGTTGGCCTAATGGATGCTGAGGAACCATTCAGAGAGATCTTTCAGAGGAGAAGCAGAAAGAGGCAGCCTCCCATTTCTTTCTAGAGATTAAATCATAAGGCCGCCAGGCAACTCTAGTGGCCTTGATACAAGATCTCAGTAAAGAAATGAGAGGACATCCTGACCCAACAACACTGTGACCACAATGCAGGATTATGGCAAGGGAGGGCTGCATTAGGTAGGGAGCCCAAGTGACAAGGCCTCCTACTCTCTACATCCAGTTCCTACCCACCCAAAGTCAGGAACCTGAATTAGACAACAAGCCAAATTTAAAAGTCAGCTCGGAACTATGGTTGCTATGTCAT